TTTTCAGACAGATGAAGAAAAGCTCCGTACTCCTCTTGATGTTATTCCCTGTGCTGCAGTCCTGCTGGCTTGTTCTCATACAGTTATCCTCTTACTCTTCTTTCTGGATCTTTCAAAGGAAAGAAGTAAATAATAGCCAGTGTGTCTCTCTTAGCCCTAACATGACTGCAGTGGTCAAACATTTCTCAATTTCCTTTTTCAACCTGAAAGTTTCAGAATTTTTCTTTCTTAGAAGGTGTCCTCCTATCACTAAATTTCAGAAGATGCCTGAAAAATTCCAGTCATCTTGTCCTTGGTGTCCCTTGCCTCCTCAGTCTCCAGCCTGTGGATTTCTCTTGCCCAAGTGGGTAAAATCGGCTTCAAGTGCCTTTCTGTTCACAGAGTAATATCTTCCCCTGAGGATATGTGAACCTAGAGAAGGATATCTGTTAGAAAGCCACAGCTGGTACCAGTGAAGAACAGTGTTTCATACAATAAATTCTCATTCAACAGAGCACCACCACTGCTAGTTTTAGACAGCTGAATGTGTTCATGACTGTTTAAGGAGCACGTCTGACTCTCTAGGAACTGCAGTGAAAGTGCTAGAAGTCAAGTGTTACTGGACATTCTGTGGGCTTTTGTGCCTGGTAGTTTTACCATTTCCGTTAGTGAATGAAAATTTGTAAAAATTTAGTACCAATTAAATGTCTGAGGCAAGCTCCGAAAGCGACAGTGACTTTGTGCAAACCTGGTATTGTACTTTTTGAGGATGTGTCACTTTAAGGATGGATGATGTGTAAGTATTCAAGCAATAAGAAACATGTTTTGGGAGAAAGATCCTGAAGTATTTAAATAATGTGGGAGGAAGATTTTCTCTTTAGCTACTATTTGTCACTTTCTGTCATCAGGACCTTCACTCTAAATGTGTTTACCAAACCAAAATCAAGTTATAGAAAAGTTTCTGAGGATTTAACAAAAAAGTGATAGAATTCTTGGTGTCTGAATTAGATGTAACATGCCTGTAGGTGCTCCAAAGGGTGCTTTGAGAATGTTGCAAAGCTTGTACATAATGATCAATTTATCTTTAATCAGAATCTTTTCCCTGTCTCCCCCCTTCTCCTGGAACAAACTACCAAATAAATTTTGCATGTCTTCAAGTTTCAGCACTAAAGACTAAAAATATTTCTGGAAGACAAAATCATTGCAAATTAATCGTATTAATAAGGAAAACTTGGGGGAGTTCGGTGGCTGGGGTTTAGAGGAGGTGAAACTGTCATCCCTCTTAGCTTTCTGATAGGAGAAACTGTATTCCATGTTGATAAGCACTTAAATGAGAAAGATCAGTTTTATATCTTGTGATAACTGTGTTTCTTGAAGAGGTATTGTTCACGTGGATTTCATGGTCCGTTTTCATTTGTCATTTTGAGACACTTTGTATTGTCAGAGTTAACTAAAGGATGATGGAGTTTATTCTGTCCTTTTTGCTTTCAAATGGAGAAGGATAAACACAGATATGATGACCATAAAATACATACTCATGGAGCAGAGAAAAAAAAAAGTCTGAATGGGAATAATGTGAGTGATGCAATCTGAAGTGTTAGTTACCATAAGCTAAGTGTTTTTTTCACCTGTTTCTGTGACCTTTGAGGGTAAAGCTAGCTTGCTGTTACTTTTTGCTGAGAATATGTTTTTTGGGATCTTAAACTACCTGTTACAGAATGTATTGCAAAATGCCTCAGAGATTCCACAAGACCCAGCAAATAAGTATCTTGTCAGAATGGGTGAATCTTACATCATAAAGAGATATTAGTGTATGAGATAGACTGCAGTGTGCTGTGCTCTACACTAGACGCTTCTTGAGGACAAACAGAACAATTATTGACATCCTAAACCAAGGAGTGTTTATTCCATGCAGTGGGAGTTTACATGTATTTTAAAAATTTGGATCTTAGCGTTAACACTTTTTGCAACGTTATTTTTTTCTTTCTTAAGAATCTTAAAACATTTTTCAGGAAAAGAGAACATCTGCTGCTTTTCTCTTGTAAAATTCCTCTGTATTTCAATAGAGAAACGGTCTTTTATAATTGTCAAGAGAGTCCTAGTAAGAACTTTGAAAACATGCTAACCAGGCCAGAAATCTTACAGTACTCAGGAGCTCTTCTTGGCACTAGGGGCAGCAATGACCTTGCTTATCTATTTGAAGTTTAATGCTTGATTATGTAAACTGTCTTTAGAGCTTAGCCAATTTAGCACTGCAGCATTCACAAACGTTATGCACAGTAAATGATTAAGCAAGCATTGAAGCACTAATCTGGCTAAGTGCTAAGCTGGTTTACTTCTGTGAGCTTTGAAAAAAACCCAACATTTAAGAATTTGTCTGACTTAACAGCTGCTTTTGGTTCCCACTGCCCAGAGGAGATGCGAGCTTCGCAGTTCCCTGGGTATCTGATTGCTTCATGCAGGTTTTCCTATCCTTCAGAGCTCTTAAACCCCAGAGGTGCCTACTGGTTTCCCATTACACTCTTTGAAGATGTGAATTTCAGTATAATGAAACTATAAAAGTGGAATCTGATAGTCCAGTTTAGGAAGTACGGAAGATTCTCTCAGCTGAGATTAGTCCTTAACTGTGCCAACTTCTTTGTTTTATACTGTAAAAACGAAATTTGAGCACTTTGTTGCTTCATCTTACAGGGGCATGAAAATTAAGCAATCAAAAAGTGTTGAACCTCAAATGAGTTAAGTATTCATGAATTATTTCCTTAGCTGTAATATACTTAACAGAGAAACTTTCCTATAGTATTTCGATTTGAAAAAACCCTTTTCTTCAGAACTGGCATCTGCCTGAGTGTTTACAAACCTCAGAATTGGTTTTAAAGTAACAGTACAAGGGTTTTGGGGAGTATAACCTTTTTTCCTTTTTAGCTCCGGTAATTTCAAAAATTGCTAATTGTAAGGGCTTTGTAGGCAGAAACTGCGCATTTGTGTCTAGTTCTTAACTCTGCCACCAGAGTTTTATAGAACAGTAAATCCAGTTATGTAGGAAATGGTCCTGATGTAAGAGTAATTTAAGAGATTTCAGAAACCAGTTCCTTCCAGATTTATACTGCAGTTTTCACAGCTCAACAATTA